ATAATTGTCGGATTTTAATGAAATTTTCAGGACTCATTCACAATTGAATGAAATTATTTTTGAAATTTCTTTTATTAAAAAATCTTGGTAAAAATATCTTTTTTTAGATGTGTTTCACCCACTTACTTAATTTTATGAAAATTTGAGAAATTCAACATGATAATTTTTGGCGATTATATTATTATATAAAGTAGAATTCTTTGAAGAATTTAAATCACTGAATTATTTATTTTTTTTTTTTTTGCAAAATCGGACCCTGTCTTACTGAAAATCTGTTCTCAATCGAAAAATAAACGCAATAAAACTAAGATATTATTTAATTAGAATAATATGAATAATATATATTAAAGACAGTATTGTCTGAAGAAAAGAATTGTTTCCATGAAAAATGAATTTTTACAAGACTTGTTTTCATTTTTTACAATTTTAGATTTAATAATTTATAAAGTTTTAAATCTTTTAAAATTTAGTTTCAGTAGGATAACTCTTAGGAAATATTGTTATTAAGTAAAACTATATTTACTAATCATATATTGTAAAGCTTATTAAAGCCTAACGAACCCTAATATTTTAAAAAGAATTTCGATTTGTTCTTGCATATGTATATACGTGCACTATTTCTGAAGTGTGGATGTACAAACCGATAAATCTATCATTAAAAGGACACGTTTTAAGGCTAGTCCCTCCTTATAAACTTTATCATCTGCTCCACCATACTCAACTATGAACACGTTCGGCGGTCAATCGGCTGTCAATAAATTGATTAACACCTCAGAAAAACAAGATTTTTATAAAATATTTTATGCTAATAAGTAATATTTGTTTCAAATCAGATTAATTTAACTTTTGGTAATTTTATTCAAATAACATTTCAGAAATATATATATGTATTTTTTTTTTTTTTGCAAGATTTTTAAAAGCGAGCATTAACTTTTGTTTACAAATCTGTCAAAATAGCTGATTTTTAGCGATTTTACTGAAAAAATCGATTCTGATCAATATAATTTCTGTTTGAAATACACCGTAGAGTATTTCGCTGACTGGAAACAGTAAATTTTAAATCCTTTAGCTTTTAATTAAAGCTAAAATGATTCAGCTTCAAGAAAGATTTTTCATTTTTAAAAAATCATCTTAAACTTACGTATACCGAATTAGTGGAGGTACTTCCATGCGATGATTAACGTCCTTGTCTCGAAAGCCATTGCTTGGTTTACATTTCTTGGTAACCCGATCATGACACTCCGCCAGACTTTGCTTGATCCCCAGAGTAAAGCAACAATCTATTTTGCCCAGTGGTGGGATGTACTGGAAGTAGATAGTATATAGGCTAATTGTCCATCGTGAATCTCCAACTAATTGGCCAAGCAAGGTTATTTACCTTACCTCCCTGCGAGGCAGGATGTGGCACAAGGCCGTTTTTTAATGTGGGGCGAAACAGAGCCCGTCGGCTCGAGCAAAAATTCCCCGTAGGCCCCGTTTATACACAGACTCGGGTAGCTGTCTACCACCCCAGACGAGACTCTGCCCTTCGACATAGCCTTATCTGGGTTCCTCTCTGCCCGAAGGCAGACAGTTCGACAAGCACAGCTGGAGACGAATCTCCAACTAATTGCCGAAGCAAGGTTATTTACCTCACCGCCCCCACCCCCACGAAGTAGGATGTGGAACAAACCTGTTTTTATTGCGAGGCAAAACTGAGCCCGTAGGCTCGGGCAAAAATTCCCCGTAGACCCCGTAAAAAACGGGGTCAGGTTGCTGTCTACCTCCCCAGACGAGACTCTGCCCTTCGGCATAGCCTCGCCTGGGTCCCTCTCTTCCCGCAGGCAGAATTCGCCCAGCTCAGCTGGGGACGAATCTCCAACTAATTACCGAAGCAAGGATATTTGCCAACCGCCCCAAGCGGTCAGATATGGCACAAGGCCGAATTTAACGTGAAGTATCCGAGCCCGTATGCTCGGGGAAAAATTTCCAGTAGACCCCGTAAAAAACGGGGTCGGGAAGCTGTCTTCTTCCCCAGACGAGACTCTTCCCCTTGGCATAGCCTCGTCTGGGTTCCTCTTCGCACGAAGTAAGAGAGTTCGACCAGCTTAGCTGGAGACGAATCTCCAACTAATTGCCGAAGGAAGTTCCCAGGGATATCTTTTGCTCACTATATATAGCTACCGATATATTCAGTTCACATAGGCGATAAGGAGTGTGGGACATTTCATTACAGCATTATACAAGGCCCAAGAGTCACTCAAGGTAGAAGGTGACTTAAGCGTTAAGATTAAGTAAGAAGCGTTGTTTTTTTTTTGTTGTTTTTTTTTTTTGTATATGTCGGAAAAATAACGGTTAACCGTAAACTTAAACAGGTTAATATCGTAGTGGTTAGGAAAGCATCCACATAGGAGTTGTTTCTACAAAGTAGCGGTTCGTGGGAAGAAGCTGTTCGAGTGGAAGTTCCTTCATACTCATAGAATATGAAGGGGGTGCGGATGGTTTACCTCAGTGTACACGGCGTGTCGGATCTTAGCTGTGAGGGTTCGAGGTAGTGGAATGTAGCTCTTCATAACATTTGCCATGGAAATAGCGATAGAGTAGCGAGAGGCTTTCAACCTATTGTTTTTTTTTTTTTTTTTTTTTTTTTAATGTTCTTTTTTTTACGGTAAGGTTCACCTTGTACAAGGTGTAGGGCCCACTTAAAGTAGATGGTTACGATAAGGGACAGTTTATACGGATAGGAAGGGAAGATAACAGTTAGCCCTAGACATGAACAGGTTAAAATTGTAGTGAACGGGGAAATATCCTCTTGGGAGTTTGTTCCACAGACCAGTGGTTCGCGGGAAGAAGCTGTTCGAGTGGAATTGACTTTTCACCGATTGGATACGGGGGGGGGTAGGTGGTTTGCTACAATCGGTTATGGGAAAGGTGTTGTAGGGTGGAAAATAATTCATATCAAGCCTGGAAAGTCAAGACTATGCAACTCCAACCCTGGCTCTTCTAAGTGTAGGGCATAGCAAAATGAGACAGGTATTTACTGGATCAGTACATAAAACTGATAATTATTCCAGTATCTTTAGCAATGGATCACATATAAGAGTCCCACCTGAGGTCTATCGTGAGCTTAAGTCCCTATAGGCGTTCAAGGCAATGGGGCCTCTTTAAGAGAACACCCGTTCATGGCGATAGACGAAAATGCAGTGTTAAAATTTCCAAGCCTCTTTTCCTCGTTATGTATCCCAGAAATTTCAATTATATCTTTCTGATTCTATGTCCTTTAATCATTTCACTCCAAACAAGGCGTTAAAGCCACTAGGATGCAGGGGAATGAAAGAGAATGAAAAGACTTTA